CAGTCAACAAAGTCAGAATAGCCATGTTAGTGTCCAACATCCGTAACGGATAGGCACCATAAGAAGAAGAAAAGTAAGTTTTATAGTTGAAAAAATTAGTACGAATTGTTTTTAATAATTTTCATTTCCTTTTTGGCTAAGGAAAAGCCACTTTGAACATTACAACAAAAGAAAAATAGACTAAGATGGTCAAAAGAGCATAAAGATTGGACTCAGTTGCAATGGGATTCAATACAATGGAGTGATGAGTCTAGATTTGAAGAGTGTATTGGTGACAGTAGGTGTCGGGTCATTCGCAGGAAAAATGAAGCTTTCCATCCGGACTGATGGGATTGTAAACAAGAACAAATATTTGAATATTTTACAAGTACATTCAGGTATTATTAAATTACTCAGTATACACTTTCATTCTACATATTCATATTTTAAGCGATTACAATTTACATCATAGTTAATTATTTTAAATTAGATGATATTTTCACGGCCATTATTATAAATGGGAATCTTATCCCCTCTGTTTAAAAAAGAAAACAAAAACTTGATCTCATGAACGAAGTTAAACACCTCAACGACACAATATAATGTATAGGTAAGTAATCAAATGACTCATACACTTGAAATAAGAAACCGGCATCTCAGATTTCTCAACCGCATCTACACACAATTTTTTAAACGAAGGAAGTCGATAAAAAATGATTTGTTTGCTCAATCTCCCCCAAACATTCTTCTCCTTACACTTTCATACTGCTCGCTGAAATTCACCAATGCCGTTGACGATAAAACCAGCCATCTTGCGAACCTTATAGGGTTTCGAAATGTTCATTTTTTCTATTCTTTTCTACCCTTTAAAAAGTAAAGGATGGACAGTTGTACCCATGGAAGGCCTTTGTTTTAATAAATAAAGAAGTCAGACTATGGGTGTGAACTTGTGCTCCCTCTTGGTATGGTCCCATTAAAGGCTTTTACACCATACTTGTGAACTGCTTACACTTCAGTTACTTAGAATAGGATACCGGTCCATTTTTTTAATAAGTACCGGCTGTCGGTAATAATATATTTATCTTTTTAGTCTTTTTGTGTTTTACATAATTGTTTTCACACCCAACTATAACGTTGATTTACCTACTATATTAAATGTCTATTCAAAATTCAATGGTGTTATATTCACTTTTATATCAAAAGAAGTAGAATTTTTTTTATGTACCTATTAGTCCGGCAGAATATTATATACCTTTTGTTAATTCAGAAAAAATGCTGAGATTTATTATTCTATAATTTTTCACTAGTTTGTTAAATAGAGACGCAGCAGTTATTTAATATTATACAATATAAATTATATTGTTTAGTCTTATTATTATCATATATTATGTCGAATACTAATTTCATTGTCTTAAATTCCTTTTTCTCCTTTATTTTTTCTTACGAACTTTACTTTATTTTCTCATATACTACTACTACTAAGGATTTCCACAGTTTTCACTGTCTTCCTTCACTCAACCGTTTTCTCCAATTTTCCCTGTCATTCCAGTCTCCATCTCGCAGGGTTCTTTTCTCCATAGCCTAGTCGATTTCGTCTCTGAATGACCTTCGGAGTCTTCCTTTCTTTCTTCTTCCGATCGGGCTCCATTCTGTGATTTTGTTTATCCAGCGTCCTCTGTCCGCTCTTCTGACGTGGCCGTACCAAGATAGTCTCTTCTCCTCTATATAGTCGATTATGTCTGATTGCACTCCCATTCTCCGCTTAATCTCTGCGTTTTCAATTCTGTCTCTTTTTGTAAGTCTACAGCTTCTCCTCAGGAACTCCATTTCTACTGCTCTTATTCTACCTCTATTTCTCTTGTTTATTGTCCAGTTTTCGGACCCATATGTCAGGATACTTCTTGTCAGGGTATTATATATTCTCTTTTTTGTCTTTATCGTAATGTTCTTATCCCACAGCACTGAATTTAGTTGTCTTATACAGTTTCTTGTTTGTCTTAGTCTGTTGTTTATATCTTCTTCTGTTGTTCTCTGGTTCGATATTATGGTTCCTAAATACTTGAATTTATCTGTTCCATTTACTTGTCTTCCCTCGTCTATCTCTAGGTTTCTCATATCCTTGTTTTCTGTTGTTAGGTATTCGGTTTTCTCTAAGTTTATTTCCATTCCGTTGTTTTTATATTCATCTTCTAGTTTTCTGAGCATAAAGCTGAGATCTTCTTCATCTTGTGCGATGACTACTTGATCGTCGGCAAAACTTAAGGTGTATAGGTATTCGTCTCTTACTGGTATGCCCATTCCTTCGCACTTTCTCCTCCATGGTTTGAATGTCTTTTACAAGAATATTTTAAACAGAGTAGGGGACGTAGCACAGCCTTGTAGAAGTCCTTTTGTCGTCTTAAATGGATTGTAGGCTTTATTTCCATATTTAATAGCTACTTTGTTTTCTTTGAACAGTGCTTTTACTGCTTTTATTAGTGTTTGTCGGATTCCGAGATCATTCATTGCTTCCCATAATTTGACTCTAGGTATTGAGTCGTATGCTTTCTTTAGATCAACAAACGCCAGATGGACCGGTCTACCTTTTGCCATTTTCTTCTCTATCAGTTATTCTAATGTGTACGTATGATTTAGGCATGATTTTCCTACTGTGAACCCTGCTTGGTCTTCTCCAATTTTTCCTATTATTTCCGTTTCTAGTTTTTCCTTGATAATTTTCCCGTAAAGTCTACCTACCGACGATATTATACTAATTCCTCTGTAGTTTTCACATTTTTTTCTGTTTTCTCATATAATGCAATTTTATTTGATTTTTCCCTAGATTATAAGTTGGAGAAATGTGTATTTTAGATTTTTCAATTCATAGATTTTAGTAGAATAAGAAATTGCACAAATAATGCACAAAGCACCTAATCACTAGAAGAACAAGAAGAAGAATTTGTAAAACTCTGTTGGATACTTAAGAACTGCAAAATACCTCAATACTAAGCAAACTGCTTAACGAGTCCATCCTTCCTATCATGACATATAGATGTCAAAACTGGACCCTAATCAAGGCAAATATGAACAAATTATCCACAACAGATAGAACAATGGAAGGGCAATGTTACATAGACGACTGTCAGATACAAAAAGAAACGTCCTTTTTATTCTGTTTTCATAACGATCTTTCCCTCTCCGCCTAGCAGTATATTTAAGTTCTTCCTTTTTGTTACACCAGCTAATTCTTTAACTTGCTAGCCTCTAAAAGTTTTTATCATATAGAAATGAAAAGCTTCTACGGAAAACCAAGCAGGTTTAGAAGCCCCGAGGTGTGCACCATCTGACCTACCTAGCTATTAAATATCACCATCATTCAATCTTTGCTTGTCCATTGTTGGACATAGATCCTCCTTATAATTTTCCATCTGTTTCGATATCGTGCCTCTTGCATCCAATTCCTGTGGTAACGTTTTAGTTCGTTAGTGAAACGTGTCGGTGGGCGACCTCTGCTTCGGTAGGCATCCTCTCGTGGTCTCCATGCCAATATGAGCTTTGTCCATGTGTTATCTGTCATTCGAGCTACGTGACCTGCTCAGTTTCACTTCAGAATTACTCGAGACGTGACGTCGTACCATACCTGTAAGGGTCGGATGTCCATAGCGCCACATTGTTTCTCGTAGCGCCACTTGTCTTGTGATGCCACCATAAAAAGTGTATTTACTGCGTTGATCCGAAACGGCTCTGGATGTCTAAATCTTGGTTGAGGTCTGATTTTTACAGCCCCTTAGAAGAAAAGCTTTAAACATTAAGAACGATCACAAGATTGTTTTATTTCTGTGATAATAGAACAAGACTAAGTGATGGAGTTTAAATATCTAGGCATCACATTATCTAGCTACGGCGAGCTCGAAACCGAAGTGGAAGATCAAGTGAATAGAGCAAACAGAGACGCAGGTTGTTTAAATGAAACAATATGGTGAAACAAAAATATCGGAAAAGAAATGAAAGGCAGAATTTCCAAAACAATCATCAGACCATTAATGACATACGCGGTAAGATCACTATCTGACATAGAGAGGAAAAAAGGATGTTATAAACAGAATAGATGAAAACACTTAAAAAAATTGATTGGAAAAGACAAGAACAGAGGGACAGGGACAGAGCTACAGGGACAGAGCTACAAGTACAGATATACGACGTAAATGCAAAGTGAAGAATATCAAGGACTGGGTAAGAAATATAAGAATAGAATGGAATGATCATATAAGCCGAATGACATCAAATAGAGCAGTAAAGACGGCAAGGTATGGTTCCCCAATAGGAACACGATCAGTAGGAAGAACACGTAAACGATAGAACGACAACTTACTGGAGGCACATTGAAAAACAGACAGCGTCATGTCTACATAAAAAGAAGAAGAAAAAGTATTAGTCTGAATGATCTGTTATTATTACAGGCCCAGTGGTCACTTATATTTGCCTGCTGTACAGTATTGAACAATTCGGTTCAGCTAAATTCAACCACATTCACTTGCTCCTGCTAGCATAATGATCAATTTGAATAATTATAAAAATACCTTTTTTTTCAAACCTCACAAAAGTATTAATTTTTGTGACATGATTGACAATATAAAAATGTTACTTTTACGCCTAGGCACAAAAGAGTAAACGTCAAAAGCTCAAAAGCTTCGTAAACCACAGTGGACTTGGAAGGTAACAATCCTTCGTTTACGGCCTTTGCAGTACAGAAACGTCACAAAACTTAACGACTAGCGCAAAAATCAGAGATTTCTCTTATCTGTCAAAGTGACAATCAGTAGAAGTAACCATTGTAACATGAAAATTATTTGCAACATTTGGAAAAAAATATGTTCTATTCGGAATAAAAATGACTTTTTGTGCCTCGGCTTAGAAACCATCGTTGCACCATAAGTACAAGTAGTAGTACTGTTTGCTATAGAAAGGGAAAATTGGTTTTGGTAAAAGTAACTATTGTATTAACAGTTTTTATATTATCTATATAAAACTGAATAACTTACCTGGTAAGAATTCGAGTCCTCCAGGTTGTGGCGTGAACGGTCGAAACGTTATCGTAAAGTACATTAGTTTGTATGGTTTATCACAAACCGCTATTATCCTAGGGTTGGGATTTGTTATCCTACACGTCTCGTATTCGTCTTTCGAAACGTTGTATATTATATATTTTTCTATTTCTTCGTCCCGCGTACCAGGCGAATATACGGGACAGATCAGGTCGACCTAAAAATCATATCGATAAATTAAAATTATATATACAATTAATTACTCTAAACATTTTTAATTAAATTTAAAGCAAAATTCAAGATATTGTAAGATGGGGAAGGCAGCGTAAGAGGATGTGGTACAATCATGTAAGACGTATGGATGAGAATAGACTCCCAAAAATTGCCCTAGAAAACAACCTGCCCGGTTCAAGACCTCCCGGAAGACCAGTTGACAACGGTAGATTGCCAACTTCCAACCCGGAAGTTGGCAATCTACCTTCCGGAAAATTAACCAGAGGCAGCTTCAGAATTAAAATTTCCGCGGGAGCTATATGTCAACCATTGTTCAAGCAGAACTAATCTGACTTGACAATGGCAAGTGTGACCTTGCCGAAACGTCGCCAAAACAATGGTTTTTCTAAAAACCAAAACTATTTAACGCGGAGTCAAACCCGGAAAACAACTGAAATCATATATATATATATATATATATATATATATATATATATATATATATATATACATAATTATTGTTTCTTGGGTTTAGGTTCAATAAGGATATATTACATGTGGAACTGGATTTTATTTTCCATAGTAATCAATCAACGTTTCGGCAGGAAACCATTGCCTTTGTCAAGATTCTAAAATGTATATGTATAAGGACAGATATTGTAAAATACGTATATATATATATATTATATATAACACTGTTTTTGATGGGTTGGAGTCAATAAAAGGGGCTATTTGTTGACTATTTTTTACTCGAGCTTTCAATTGTGATTACAATTTTTATCAAGAGCTTCTAAAAAATACAAAATGTCTTACAAAGTTGAACTAGAAATAAAAAATTTTTTGTTAACTCACCAAATAAAATTAGTTTTTTATATAAAACTACTGCTTACATAATAAATACAAAAAATATTAATAAAAAAATGTCTTATTCTAACAAATGTTTCTCTGAAAAATTTAGATGAAGTTTCTTAAGAAAAAAAATTGAAATTATAAACAAATATAGAATAGCTACAACCAGCCTAAAACGTCATAAATACTAACTTAAAAATTTTTATTTTTGACATATTGTCAAAAATAAAATTTTGTTTAAAAAATTCTTCTTTGTTTAGTAACAAAAAAGAAGAAGATTTATTCACCATTGATAGATGCCCGGAAAAAATGTAACAAATACATGGAAAATTCAAAATGTGATATTTTACTGACTGCATAAATTAAATAGAAATTATATAATTATAAATTTTGCTTAAATTTTGAATTTCTGACCTTTTGTTTAAATTATTATCACTTTTGCTAATACAAACCATTTCCAAAAAAGTTCTTTTAAATTTATTACTTTCATTACATAAAATTTTAATATTATCAAAATCCATAATATGGTCTTTGTCTATTACATGCTCTGCCAAAGCACAAGATGGTTTCTTAATTCTACAATCACTCTTGTGAGAAATAATGCGATTAGAGAGATTTCTTCCAGTCTCACCAATATACTCAGCTTCACACTGAGTACAAACAATGCTGTATACTACATTTGTTTGATCTAATTTGTCTATAGGATATTTAGTTTTGGAATATAAAGATGAAATAGTTTTGATGTTCTTTGTTGCTATTTTTATATTGTCAATAACCTTTAATGTTTGTATTAATTTAGGAGTTAATGATGGTATAAAAGGTAGTGAATGATAATATATGTTTTGATTGTTGGATACAGTGTTTTGAGATTTAGCAAAAAATGGTGTTAAGTTATTTATATTTAATAAATTAGAAAAAAGCATCCTATGTAGCATATCAGGAGGATAAGAGTTTTCAATTAAAATATTTTTTAACAAATGAAGATCTTCTTGTAGGTAGTCTGGATGAGAAAGTTTTAAAACACGTTCCTTTAATCCTGTTATAAGGTTCATTTTCATTTTATTTGGATGATTAGAGTAATAGCTTATAAATCTATTACTACATATGGGTTTTCTGAACCATCTAGTTTTCAACATATTGTCTGTATTTCTTACAATTCTCATGTCAAGGAATGGTAGAGAATTATCTACCTCTTCCTCAACTGTAAATTGTATATGTTGATTATGATTGTTGAAAATGTTGACTGTTTCAAGAATTTTGTGTTTAGGAAGTGCCAAAACTAGATCATCTACATATCTTTTGATAAATGGAATGAAAAAAGTGCAATTATTGATACAATCACTAATAACATCATCCATGACATAGCTACTTAGAATGGGTGAAAGACTAGATCCCATAGGGCTACCAAAAATTTGTTTATAAAAAACACCATTAAATATAAAAATATTAGAATCAAAAACAAAGTTGATGAGTGTTTTAAAATGTAATAAGTCAATATTAGTATGTTGCGAAATCTCATTCCAATGTTTTTCAACACTACTTATGATTAAATTTAAAGGTAAATTAGTAAAAAGAGATGTTACATCAAAACTAACTAAAACATAATTTTGTGGTAATTGGAAATTATTAATGAAAGAACTAAAATCAAATGAATCTTTTATGTAAAAATTGTTGTTTAAATTATAAGCATTGGTTAAGATGTCAGTGAGGAGCTGTGCTATTGGTCCATTTGGAGGGCATAGAGATGAAACAATTGGTCTCATAGATAAAGTTGGTTTATGTATTTTAGGTAGAGCATAAAACCGTGGTGCAATAGAATTATAAATTTTGAGTTCTTTTGCTTTTTTATTATCAATAAATTTCTTACTGTTTAATTTTGATACTAGATAATTTGCTTTTTGTTGTAAAGTACAAACAGGACTCCTTCTAAGTGTAGTGTAATACTTAGTATCATTTAAGATTTTTAAGATTAATATCATTTCTTAAATGATACTAAGTATTACACTACACTTAGAAGGAGTCCTGTTTGTACTTTACAACAAAAAGCAAATTATCTAGTATCAAAATTAAACAGTAAGAAATTTATTGATAATAAAAAAGCAAAAGAACTCAAAATTTATAATTCTATTGCACCACGGTTTTATGCTCTACCTAAAATACATAAACCAACTTTATCTATGAGACCAATTGTTTCATCTCTATGCCCTCCAAATGGACCAATAGCACAGCTCCTCACTGACATGCTCTTAACCAATGCTTATAATTTAAACAACAATTTTTACATAAAAGATTCATTTGATTTTAGTTCTTTCATTAATAATTTCCAATTACCACAAAATTATGTTTTAGTTAGTTTTGATGTAACATCTCTTTTTACTAATTTACCTTTAAATTTAATCATAAGTAGTGTTGAAAAACATTGGAATGAGATTTCGCAACATACTAATATTGACTTATTACATTTTAAAACACTCATCAACTTTGTTTTTGATTCTAATATTTTTATATTTAATGGTGTTTTTTATAAACAAATTTTTGGTAGCCCTATGGGATCTAGTCTTTCACCCATTCTAAGTAGCTATGTCATGGATGATGTTATTAGTGATTGTATCAATAATTGCACTTTTTTCATTCCATTTATCAAAAGATATGTAGATGATCTAGTTTTGGCACTTCCTAAACACAAAATTCTTGAAACAGTCAACATTTTCAACAATCATAATCAACATATACAATTTACAGTTGAGGAAGAGGTAGATAATTCTCTACCATTCCTTGACATGAGAATTGTAAGAAATACAGACAATATGTTGAAAACTAGATGGTTCAGAAAACCCATATGTAGTAATAGATTTATAAGCTATTACTCTAATCATCCAAATAAAATGAAAATGAACCTTATAACAGGATTAAAGGAACGTGTTTTAAAACTTTCTCATCCAGACTACCTACAAGAAGATCTTCATTTGTTAAAAAATATTTTAATTGAAAACTCTTATCCTCCTGATATGCTACATAGGATGCTTTTTTCTAATTTATTAAATATAAATAACTTAACACCATTTTTTGCTAAATCTCAAAACACTGTATCCAACAATCAAAACATATATTATCATTCACTACCTTTTATACCATCATTAACTCCTAAATTAATACAAACATTAAAGGTTATTGACAATATAAAAATAGCAACAAAGAACATCAAAACTATTTCATCTTTATATTCCAAAACTAAATATCCTATAGACAAATTAGATCAAACAAATGTAGTATACAGCATTGTTTGTACTCAGTGTGAAGCTGAGTATATTGGTGAGACTGGAAGAAATCTCTCTAATCGCATTATTTCTCACAAGAGTGATTGTAGAATTAAGAAACCATCTTGTGCTTTGGCAGAGCATGTAATAGACAAAGACCATATTATGGATTTTGATAATATTAAAATTTTATGTAATGAAAGTAATAAATTTAAAAGAACTTTTTTGGAAATGGTTTGTATTAGCAAAAGTGATAATAATTTAAACAAAAGGTCAGAAATTCAAAATTTAAGCAAAATTTATAATTATATAATTTCTATTTAATTTATGCAGTCAGTAAAATATCACATTTTGAATTTTCCATGTATTTGTTACATTTTTCCGGGCATCTATCAATGGTGAATAAATCTTCTTCTTTTTTGTTACTAAACAAAGAAGAATTTTTTAAACAAAATTTTATTTTTGACAATATGTCAAAAATAAAAATTTTTAAGTTAGTATTTATGACGTTTTAGGCTGGTTGTAGCTATTCTATATTTGTTTATAATTTCAATTTTTTTTCTTAAGAAAATTCATCTAAATTTTTCAGAGAAACATTTGTTAGAATAAGACATTTTTTTATTAATATTTTTTGTATTTATTATGTAAGCAGTAGTTTTATATAAAAAACTAATTTTATTTGGTGAGTTAACAAAAAATTTTTTATTTCTAGTTCAACTTTGTAAGACATTTTGTATTTTTTAGAAGCTCTTGATAAAAATTGTAATCACAATTGAAAGCTCGAGTAAAAAATAGTCAACAAATAGCCCCTTTTATTGACTCCAACCCATCAAAAACAGTGTTATATTTTTTCCAAACGAGTCACAAGTACTTCTTTTTTCTTACTCTTATATATATA